CATTACAAAGGCTTTATTGACAATATGAGTGACTCTGAATCTTAAACTCCCTTTACTCTTAGATTTACAAATAGTCTCTCAGGTGATTAAATGGCATTTCCTATTGCTCAAGGAACCACAAATAAAGCTCCTATAAATGTTATCAATTTCTTTACAGATAGACTAAGGAATGGTAACAACTTGCATAAAGTAATTAGGTATACTCATTATACAAAACTGAGCCAAAGTTATTCTACCTGCCATGGATAAGGAATTCATTCTTCAAATTGAGATCTTTTTCCTAATTTTATCTATAATGAACTTAAAATCCTAGCTAGTAGGAAGAAGAGAGGACTAATAGGCACCCCTAAGATATTTCACAATCTGAGCAATACTTTTAAAACCTAATTTATGACTTAGATCATGGTTAAGACTAGGATCTCAACATCTAGAAAAATAAACAGAAAATTTCTCCTTATTTACAGATAACTCATAAGTAGAACAAAATCTCTCTAGAATCTCAAAAATAATTTTAGCATTGTTAAAATCAGTTTTGACAATCAAAATGATGTCATTAGCAAAGAAAATGTGGGAAATCCTAGGACCCTTTCCATTAAAGGAAAAAGACATCTAACTACCTTCATGATATTATCAATACTATGCCTACTATGGATAAAATTAGCTTGGTTGGCATAAATAACATGGAGAAAAGTCCCCTAATTCTATTAACAAAAATTTTAGTTACAATCTTATAACTAACATTACAAAGAAATATAGGCCTAAATCGTTTTATATGTTCAAGGGCATCTATTTTAGGAATTAAGGATATTACTGTGTCATTTACCTTAGACATATCAGCAAAGTTACTGAAAATATTAGAAACAAATTTAAAAAGGAAGGGAGTAAGAAAATCACACTGGTCTTTATAGAATATAGCAAAGAACTCATCTGGTCTAAGAGCTTTGAAATTTTTTGTACTGAATAAAGTAACCTTGACATCTTTTAAAGTAGGCTCAGAATCTATTGATAGAATATCAGCTTCCCTAAGGAGAGACTCACTAGTAGGATTCCTATGATCACTAAAGTACCTAACAACCATGTCTTGGAGTTTAAGAGAATCAAACTCCCACTCACCCTCATTATTCTTGAGGGCTTCAATCTGATTGTTCTACCAGCGAATTACTACAGCTTTATGAAAAAATTTATTATTCTTGTCTCTAGGGGTGTCCATTGAATCTTATAAACCAATAAACCTGATGATCCAAATCAATTCAAACTGAAAAATGATCCAAACCAATACTTAATAAGTCCAATCCAATTCAAACCGATCAAACCCGACGTAGTTTGGTTCGAATAACGGGTTGACACAAGTTAACCCGTAGACCCGATGACATATCCGATTAACCCGTTGACTTGCGTTGATTTTTTTTTTAAAAAAAAAAAAAAAACACCTTCACATACAATAAAGTGTGTTTTGAATTAAAACTTATTTTGAATTTGTATATTTATGTTGAAATGTTGTATAATTATGTGAAATTATGTGTTAAGAATTATTTAAATAAAAAATTGACATTTTTTCTATTTTCTTATACGTTTTTTATTTTAGGTTATTTAATCAGACAATCTGATGATTCAAACCGAACCAATTCGTTCGTATTTATTCAAATTTTAAAACAAATCCAAACTAATCTATTTTGATCGATTTAGATTTTTTTTTCTCCAAATTCGAACCAAACCAACCTTGTAATCACCCCTACTTGTCTCATAGCTGAATATAAGAAGATTTATAGTGATGGAACTAAAATATTTCTTCAAAATCCAGCACTTGCTAGTACTCAGCTGATAGAGACTTTCTAAAATATTTAAGAAAAATATTATTTTGGGTGGTCAACTTGTTAGAAATGCCTTTAATCCTATTTAAAAATTGCTCTTTCTCATAAAATTATTGCCAAAAATATTATGATTCCAATCTAAAATATTATTTTTAAAATTATTAATATTCTTAGTTCAAAATTTAGAATTAGCTCAAAAATTTTTACCTAATTTTTAAAGTCTTTATGCCAATAACCTAAAGAATTTATGATCAAACCTATTATTATTTTTATTATAATAACGGTCATTCACACTATTATTGTACTTGTTACGGTTATTATTATTATCATTATAACTATTATTATTATTACTGCAATTATTTTACTAACGATGTAGCATCATCATTATACTAAAATAATTGGATTATCATTCTATTATTAACAGTGTTATAGATATTATATTATTATTGCTAGTCTCACTAAGACTATACTTTTTATGCGGGTAAATTTATTATTTATATACAATTTTTATTAATTAACTTGTACATTTTAAAATATAATATAAGAATTTATTTTGCTTTTATCTGGATCGAATATTCATTTTATCTAATCTTATCGTATTGTAACGATGAAATAAACTGTAAAATGTGTAAATAACGAGACATTGGGAGTATTATCCATTGTAATTCGTAATAATGATATAATGATGGTAAAATATTTTGAGTCAATCTACGATAACTTAATCAACTGAGAAACGAATCTATACTTGATCCAAGATATAACACGTTCTTCATAGGACCAATTTCTGAGTGTTTTCTTTTTTTGGGTGAGCAATTTGCTAAATTTTCATTCTTCAATCGCATATTCGCATGCTTTGATGAGTCGACACTCAACACCCGTAAACCACAGTTATTAAGGACAATGCAACAACCAATAAGATGAAAAAGTAAAGTCAAGGTCAACCCCGTTTGCTATAATAGGGCCTATATTCATCCTCTTCGACGGCCCTGATTCATTTAAAAAGAATAGTCAACTGTGATGGTGATGGTTGACACTTGTATAAGCAGCAATAGCCACCGTGACCCACTTAACAGCGGTGACTCACGCACTTACCGCCGGGAAAGAGGATCCTCTACACGTGCACCTACGTTAGTTTTCATAGTCAACCCTGGTAGGTCTACTAATGCTTAATACTATTTTTCATAGTATTGAAAGGGGTAGGTTAAGTTAACGTGCGGGGAAAAAAATATACTCGGATTACATTTTATAAATTTTATTTTGAGTAAAAGCAGATTTACAATTAAACAATACATTTATATTTGATAAATTATTAGTGTAAAAATTGTTACATTAACAATTAATTAAAAATTATCTTAATTATTTTATTAATAGTTTGATATAAATTAAATAAAAAATTTAAATCAAATGTAAAAGTTTTGAGAGTTACACTAAGTATAGAAAGATATTTTTTTATTTTAGTTTAAAATAGAATGATAGTATTAAATTATTTTATATTTTTAATAGTTTCAACTAAATTCTTAAATAATTAATCATTTATTTTTCGTATTATTAAAATTAGGAAAAATGTAAAAGTTTATTTTTATGTTCAACTCAATTATTTACTTCTTGTAATTTTTTTCTTAGATTTATAAATATTTAAGTACCCTGCTTGAATTTTGAAATCATAAAAGCACAAACCATAAAGAGAAATTACATTATTTGTTACAATAAGGTTGTATATATTTTTCACAACAAGGAAATATACATGAAGAGAAAAAAAATGGAATATGACATAAGATGAATCAAGCGATAAAGAAAAATTATATATATATATATATAAGAATTTATTGTAGAAATAATGTAGCTACAGTTTCAATGGTAAATTTAAAGAAGCTATATATATTTATATTTTTGCTCTTTAACTCAATATCGCACATGTGTCCTTACAATTCTGCGAAGCTGCATTATGATTTGGGGCATTGACTAATATCCCAAAGTTTTCCAAAGCTTTTAGAGTTGACATAATATATATAGTTGATTGTCCACCAAAATAATGACTATATCTCAAAATTATTGAGTGTAAAACATTGACAAATTAAAACTTTTAAAAATGTTATTATACTTTAAACTTTAATTAATCTTATTAGTTTGCCACCAAATAATTATTTTCTGACTGTCCATGGTATGAGTTACAAGTTCAAACTCATGGCAGTTTTATTGCATGTTAGGATTAGAGGATATAACCATTAATGTGAGTCTAAATTGCCCAAGTTATTATTTGTTGTGTGCATAGACATCTCTTTGAAGCAATAATATAGACGTAGATTTAAACACGCATTAATATATATATATATATATATATATATATATATAGACCACTTACATGTTTAAATTAATTTTCTATATAGAAATAATTATTTATTTTCATAATATTATTATTACAAAATGTCAAAAATAAGCTACTATTTCTTTTAAAAAAATATGTTAAGCCAGTGTGTTAAGTGGTATTTAATTACGTGTACTGTAATTTGTAATTGAAGTAGATTCACCTCAGTTTACCGACTAAGCCAATTTGTATTTTGTGTTGCCCTTTGTATATATAACCCTTAACAGAACTCATCAATCAAGTGTAATTTTCTGCTTTTGTTCATAGGCTATGAAACGATAAAAGAATACGTAATTATGTTCCAACACATATTCTATTAGAAGCTCCATAAAATTAATTAGCTTCTAACAAGCCTAAATATTCATCCAACAAATCCAAATTATGCAAGGTAACAACGTGTCGTTCTATCCAAATTATCAGTGATCTGAAGTAAAATATTTGGCTCTAGCCCCAGATTTCGGAATAAAGGAAGAGATAATATTAATTACTTTCAAGAACTTAATTTTGCATCTCCACAATATTTTTGTCCATAACTTCAGTTATTTATATTAAAACTTGTGTATAAGATTTCTTAAAACATCAGCAAAACAAGTAAACTTGTTTGATTTATAGTAATTAAATAGCAGGATCATGCTTGTACAACAATTATGCTCAAACCGAGAATTTAGTTGAAGCTCTCTCTCATTCAACCTTGCAATTGCAAGCAACAAGCTTTCTTCCCCTAAGATCATGGAGTATTTTACGAGGAACTGGAGTTTAAATTGCACACCAATTCCCTTAATTATCACATTCACAAACTCTTGCTATAACAAATAGCAACAAACATGGCCAAGAACAGGATCATCCTAAAGCTCACAACAATTATCTTTCTGTTCATCTCTTTAGCCCTATGTAGTTCACAATTTGTTTCTTCAACTGATTCAGATAATGACATGAATGAAGATGAAGAGGAAGATTATGTTCTTGACAACCCATTAACCCATTTAGGAACAAGAAGCAGGTTCTTGGCAAGTGTCATAATAAAGAAAGGTGCACGCTGTGATCTAAATACTAAAAATATATGCAATGGGGTTCCAGCAAAGAAGGGAACACAGCTTCTTTTCTGCTGCAAGAACCATTGTAGAAATGTTCTTAGTGACAAGAACAATTGCATGACGTGTGGAAAAAAGTGCAAGGAAGGAGAGCGATGTTGTAATGGAGTTTGTACCAATGTCTCATCCAATGTCCATCATTGTGGCAAATGCAACAAAAAGTGTTCGCATGGGGTTTTATGTGAGAATCGAATTTGTGGGTATGCATGAAACAAAGTTATTCAAAGGTTAGAGGTCTAATTATCTATATTATATAGCAGTTTTGAGATGTGAAAGGGTTCATCATTACAGCGCCATTATATATAGTGCATTTTACATATTCATAACCTGTTAAGAAAGATAACGGAAAGAAAGATTGGATTGGGTTGAATTTTATGTGGTTCCAAATAAAAGTGTACACAGTTTATTCTTGTTTGAGTGCTTCATTCATCTGTTTAGTTATTGTCTTCTTGTTGGCTTTCTTTTTGTTGCTGTTATTATCGTGGATCTACTCTTCAAATCAATAAGAGAATTGATTTTTACATAGTCATGTACCTTGACGAAGATGCATTCTTGTATGCCTATCGCAGAAAATTTCAGGCTGCATGCATACTCTTTAACACATTTTTTATAATTAATTAACTTTTTAAAAAGTTAAAAAATACTTACTTTATAAATTGAACCTTTTTTTATCAATTATAAAAAAAATAATTAAAATTTGCATTTAAAAAAGAATGTTAATGATATTCCTTGTATCAAATAATATTATATCATTGGTCAATTTTTAATTAATAATTAGGAATAAATAATCTTTAAGTTCATATACAAGATTCATTTATGTAATTTAATTTTTATTGGTAAAAAATTTATACACATGTCCCTATGCTATAGATAAATTTATTTTTAATTTTATTCATATTCTTACATGTTAATATTATTTATCTTTTACGTGGCAAATGACTGTCCAATGTGATATATTTAAATTATCTTTTAGTTTTTATATAAGATTTTTTTAATAATTTAATTTTTAAAGATAAAAAATATGTAAATCACTCTATATACAAAATTTTGCTTTTAATTGTTTTTTTCATTATGGTAACATTTTTACATCAACATGTTAAGTGACATTCTTTCATTATATAGTATTCTGAATTCTTTAAAATAAAATATTATATTTTACTTCATAGCTTATCAATTTAGTATGTCAAGTTTTAAACATGTGTAAGAATCATTTTGATAAGACTTTATATTTTGATTTCTTTGTACATAAGCACCAGCTGCTTTAGTATTTTCATATCAAATATTACTTTTTTTTCTACTCCATTGTATTCTTCTAATAATTGTCCAAGAATTAGATAATTTTTTAAAATTTTCTTATTTCAAAAAATTAAAATAAGTTTCAATTCACACAACATTTAAATATAGTAATGTATATATTATTCTATCATTCATAAATAATACACTCGTAAAATTAATTTTTTCATCTTACTTTTAGACAAAAATAAAAATAAAAAATATATCATTACTTTAATCATTCAACACTGTCAAAGGGTTTATTTTCATTTTCATACCTTTTTTTAACCCTAATTTCCTCGTTGTATTGGGCTATACGTAGAAGCAGAAATCAAAACATAAATCTAATTATTTTAATATATTTTTTCTTCCATTAAAAATAATAAAATATTAAATTTAGGAATGAAATAAAACTTTAAATTTTATACAATGTAGAGTAACTATTTTTACTAATATCGTGGAGTGTTAATATCTTTCTCACGCATAATTAAACTGCAAATTCAGATTTAGTTAGTAAATCATTTTTCTAAATTATCTAGGATTCTTTAAAAATCACATTAGCAACTTCTTTCATCTCTATTTTTTTTTCTATTTTTTGATTCATTGTTTTTCTATATTTTTCCTCTCATTGTGGTGCAGAGCTTATTCAAAGAGTTTGAAATACTTCTTTAATAATAATAAAAAAAATGTCACTTGACACTTATATGAAATTGTCACTACAATGATAAGAATAAAATCTAAAATAATTTTTATATAAGAACTAATATATAAGTTATTTTTATCTATACAAACTAAATTATAAAAAAAAAATTGTACAAAAACTAAAAAATAATTTAAACTTTTCACGCTAGATAATCATTTGTCATGTAAGATAGAAAGATAATATTGCTATAACATGATGGAATAACAACATTAAATTGAAAATAAATTTTTATATAAAGATTGATATACAAATTTTTAATCTATAAAAACTAAATTATTAAAAAGTTATTGTACAACCACTAAAATATCATTTATTCTTAACAATTATCAAATATTATAAAAAGGGTATATTTTTATGGTTGTTTCAAATATTATATTGTTGGGGTAATAATTAGAGCTATGGAGTGTATAATAAACAATGTACTATCTATCTCAAAACTTAAATTTCGTGCTGTGCTCAGCTTTTAGAAGAGAGAATAACTTTGGTAGAATTCTATTACTTGACAAACTGAGTTGAATTATTCAAGTAATATAAAGATAGTCTACCGATGAAAAACCATAACCAAGGGCTATAAAAAGAGAAGCATTCAAGGACAACATGTGATATCTTTATTGAAAACTCAGCAGTCAAAATCACCATGCAAAGAGACCCTTTTGGAGTAGCTCCAATTCTTGTTAGCAATCTCAACTTCACACCATTGAAATCCAGCTGATGTAACTCAAAGGCTACTTTAGCATTTATAACGTATATCAAAACTGTTAATTATAATTTAAACAATAAAAATATATACATATGCCCTCACTATTTTAAAGATAAGAATTTCTTAAATGACAAAGTTTCTAACTTTGATCACCCACTAGTGTAGTAAGTATAGCACGAAAGGCGATACAAATCTACCTATTCAATACAGATTTCTGCATCAACAATACAAATCAAGTACAGTATCATTTTGGATCCAAAATTATTTTGCGAATTGTGTGTATCGACCGAATCGGTGATGAGACGCGATTCTATGGGCAGCGCACAATTCAAGCGCGACTCGGGTCACACGAAAAACAGGTCAGGTCGGCACAACCTGGAACAGTAAAAATCCTAAAAAAATATTTTTTTTATAGAATGGCCGATTTTTACCTTAGGTTGTTTCTGTTACTGTGTAATTTTAAAAGAAAACCCTATTTTCTCATTCTCTTTTCATTCCCGCTCTTTTCTTTTCTCTTTTCTCCACGTACATAGTTTATGTTCATCCTATTACCTATTTCATTGTTGTCATTATTGTAATTCTTCTCACAACTTCTCCCTTCCTATTCAATAGTTCTAGTGGTCCCTTTTCCCTCAGCCACCATTCCTTTTTTTAATTTTATTTGGCTTCTCCTCTCTTTTCTACCTGTTGTTTGCTATTTAGGGAGACAAAGGGGTCCTACATAAAAAACAAAGGAAAGTGATATCACATGGAAACATTATGAAAGTGTCCCTGTGCACAGACTATTAGTGAAATGCAAATATTGTTCTCATTCTTGTTGGGGTGGAGTTGCACAGATGAAACATCATGTAGCTGAAACAAAGGCAAATGTAAGTGCTTGTACAAGTGTTCCAGATGAGGTAAAAGAGATATCATCAAACTATTGGAAGTGAAAGAAAACAAAAAAGGTAAAAATAGCTTAGAATTTTTTGAAGAAACTGAGACCCAGGATGTAAGTGGTCATCAAAAGAAAAGTATGGATTCTTTTATCAACAAAGAAAATGGAGGGACATTTAAAAATTTGAAGCAAACAACAATGAATACAATGTTTAAAGATAGAGATGTTGTCATTCAAGAAATTTACAAATGCATTTATGCTAATGTCTTATCATTTAATTCAAATGGTGAAAGCTGTTGGAGAATTTGGTAGGGGTTTAAAACCTTCTACTTGTCATGAAGTGAAAGTCTCTATTTTGAAAAAGCAGTTGATAGCATCTATCAAAATTTGGAAAAATACAAAAATGAATAGGAGAAATGGAGCTTCACTTTGATGTGTGATGGTTGGACAGATGGAAAAGGAAGGTCACTTACTAATTTTCTTGTTAACAATCCTAGTGGGACTATTTTTCTAAAATCTATTGATACTAGTAATGTAATTAAAGATGTCAAGCAAATGTTTGAATCATTGGACAACATGGTAAATGAAATTGGAAAAGAAAGTATAGTGCAAGTTGTAACAGATGATGCTTCTAATCTTGTGGCAGTAGAAAAAATGTTGGAAAAGAAGAGAACTAAATTATTTTGGTCACCTTATGCAACCCATTGCCTTGATTTAGTTTTAGAGGATATTAGAGAGCTTCCAATTTTCTATGTTATCATTACAAATGCAAAGAAAATCACAACTTACATATATAGGCATACATGGGTCCTTAATTTGTACGAAAGCATTCTAAGGGAAGGGAGTTAGCTAGACCAGCCATAACAAGGTTTGCAACTGCTTATCTCACATTAAATTATATTATGCAACAAAAGAATGCTCTTAGATCTATGTTTGCTTCAAAAGAGTTTGCTTCTAGTTCTTATGCTAATATAGAGTTGAGGCTAAGCAAGTGATAAACATAGTGTTGAGTGATGATAAATTTTGGAAATCCATCAAATATGTTTTAAAGTGTGTAATTCCATTTGTGAAAGTACTTAGACTTGTAAATGGTGATTCAAAACCAGCCATGCCATATATTTATAAAGCAATGGATAGAGTCAAAGAGCAAATTGCTGAAAATTTTCAAAAGAAAGAGTCAAGGTATAAGAAAGTGTGGAAGATCATTGATACTAGATGGAATTTACAAATACATAGACCTCTCCATGCAGCTGCATATTATCTCAATTCTAGGTAAGTAGACATTCTTAATATCTTAAATTTCATTTAGTTATCTATTCATCCTGACTCTTTTTTATTGTTTGGTTAGGTTCCATTATGACCAAAGCTTTAATCCAGATAGTAAGGTTTTGTATGGTTTATATGAAACCATTGAAAGAATGGTTTCAGATAGAAGGACAAAAATTTTTATTGATCAACTTGACAAGTTTAAGTCAGTCAAAGGATTGTTTGGAATGAATATGGCAATAGATACTAGAGACAAGAAGTAATGCGATGACTCTTCAATCTTCATACTTTGCTAACTTTACTAATAATTATAAACCAATAAGTAACATGACATACTTTGCTAATTGTTTATACATATTTTGTTTTAATTTTGATAGCTCTTTGGTGGGAGAGTTATGATAGAGATGGCAAAGAGTTGCAAAAGGTAGTCATGAGAATTTTGAGTCTTACATGTAGTGCAACAAGATGTGAAAGGAATTGAAGTACATTTGATCAAGTAAATACTAAAAGAAGAAATCGCTTGGAACAACAAAGACTAAATGCACTTGTGTTTGTTAAATATAACATACAATTAGAGATAAGACAAAAGTATAGAGAAGAGAGGAGAGAGACCTATGATCTCATATGCTTATCTGATATTGAATCAAATGATGAATGAATTATTGAAAAAGAGGATCCATGCTTACCAAATGATGCTTCATGGATGGATATACATGAGTGCTTTACTTTTGAAGAGGGAGCTTCAAGCAAGAAAAGAAAAAGAGGTATTTGTGCTAATTTAAAATTAGAACTTAAACAAAAAATACCGAAGATTTAATTACTCCAATACATATTGTCATGTTTGTTCCATTATTTTGGTTTTATAGGTCCAAGAAACTTAAATGTCAAAGCTAATAAGAAGAAAAAATCTATAATAGAAGATGATCATGAAATTGAAGGCATTATTAGAGATGGGCTAAAAGAAAAAGAACTTTTGATTTTGAAAGATGAAAAGTGACATAGATCTCGGGAATAATAAATTATCATTCATTATCTTTCAAATTTTTGCTATAGTGACTTGCTGTCAATTTTTGTTTGTCTTTTTGAAAGACTATATGTTAATTTTGAGCAGTCATTATTTTCTATAATATGACCGAATGTTATGATTTGAATCTTAGTTTGCTTATAAGTGTGTGTCATATTGTTAGTGATATATTATTTACTTCAAAATATTAATATATAAATGTTTCTTTATGTTACAATACTCTTATATTTATGTTTTAAATTATTGATCTTGAATTTTACGATTCAAAAAATAGGTTGTCCAATTCACAATTTGAATCCTAATTTAACTACCTTGTGACCTACTAGGAACACAAATGACAGATGTAGATCAATCAAAAAACATAAAAAATATATATATAAATAAATTAGTAAAAGACCAAGATGGTTCTTGAAAATTCATCCAAAAGTATAAGGCTAAAAGAAAGTACATGAGCAACTCATCCTACACTAAAGGGAACAGTTTTAAAGTTTGGGATTTTATATGGAACCCTCCTTATAATTTGAGTGTTATCATCAACGAAACAAAATAAATAGAATGGTTATTAAAAAATTATAAATTGATCGTGAAATTTCAACCCAAAAAAATTATTGACAAAAAAATAATCTATTAAGTGGAGTCTCATGAGGTGACTTAAGAGCCCCATTAAATTTCATATTTTACACAATGCGGGACTTAAGACATTATCAACCTCCTTTAAGAGCCAACATCTGCACCAACTTCACCCTATCAACACTAACCCAATAGTCCTTACCCCTAACTACTACAAAAATAATAATAACAAAAGATGAAAATTTTGTCGGTAAACCGTTTTTTCTCTTCTCTTCATAAGCTTTATTTACGTGGGGCTAAGTAGCTCGTTGCTAAACTTCTACAAATACCGAATGAGCTCCACTGCAAACTTTCCTTTCTTTGTGGAGTTTATTTCTCCTATCTGGACCAAAATGAAACAAAACATAAAAAAAAGGCTTAACAATATATCCAAAGTCATTCAGACAATCCAAGCCTTATTTTAAGTCTTGGAAAGTTACCTTTAATCTTCCCTTTCCACTAACTGATACAATATCTCCACTCTTTAGTGTGGTTCCTTTGGTAGTAACAGGAATCCAGTTGATACGCACATCACCATTGCTATGAGCACGATATGTACAACACAATTATCACAAGGTTTTGCAATGAAAAGGAGTTTTAAGTTGTAATACTTATATATCAAGTATGTCAAATTCTCATGGACTTGTATCTGACATATTTGTTTTATGATAACATATCTCATTAATATGATTTGTTTCAAGCAGAACATGAAAATATATTGACTATTCGGATAGGGGCTAGAAGCTAAATGCTCTCATAAAGCAAGCTCTAACAAGTATAGCACATGTGATATACCAAAATAGCCAGAAAAGTCTCAGCAGTTTTATGCATATATAATAAGAATACATTTATAGATATTGGCAACAGTGAAAGAAAGGGGAAGAAAAACAAGGAGCGTGCCACGCAGCTGGTGTGGTTAAAGCTAATCAAATTCAGAGACATACAATTTATGCATTCGATTCTGTATATTTCTGTATGACATTCAAAACTGACCATTATCTCATTAAGCAGAAAGAGATTTTATGTAGGATTCAGAAAAGTAGATCTCATGGACCAGTGCACTACAACTGTAGGCAATCATTAATTACAAACAATTAACAGACACAATATATACACGTCAGAGTTTGCCAACCTGATCATGTCAACTAGCTTTGAACGTGAAATCTTAAATCCGGCACTAGCTAGTGCATCAACTCTTAGTGATGCTTCAATAGTTTTGAATGATTTAGTTCTGCACAATAAACAAAACTGGTAAAGACTGACTGACACAATTAAATATTATGTGAAACTGAAAATAGGATAAATACTGCACCTCGGCGGTTCATAATCAAGAGAAATTAAGGGTATCTTGCTGCAAGTTACAGGAACCTTACCAACCTGAATAAGAAAATGCAGTCAGAAGAATAAACATAGTATCCAGCAATACAATACAGAAGATGCTTAAAATGGTGTAATATGAAAAATATTTTGCCACAAGACAACATCAGGATGTTCAATCAGACCTTTATATATGTTGAAGAACATGAACAAGGGTAAGACAATATATTATCAAACTATCCCTAGATTCCATACCACCATAACATAGGTAGCTAAATTCCATCATTCATTAAAACAAAAAAATCAGCAATGTTCGCTTCAAGAACCAGTTTTAAGATTTGATTTTATTCTAATTTTCAGAACCAAAGGGCAAGATGTAACAGGTGTGATCACATAAGAAGCATGAAACCTGCATTTGGTATCGTACCTGCATCTGATGAATTTCAGCAACATTTGTGTCAAATACTCCAAGCTTATTTAAGAGTTATCTAACATCTTTTTTATTTTTTTGTTTTTGAAGTGTACCAGATTAGATCCTATAACACAACAAAATGTATCATACCGAAATGTTTGAACTTTTTAGCTTAGAATGGAATGGATATATACATATATTATTCGTGTAAATGAACTTAATGATGATTACTGATGTGAACATAAATATTTCTATAATTTGTTTCTTAAATAGTCCAACATACTTGTATCCTAGATTTTTAAAATTTCTTGTACCCCAGTACTTTGAAAACAATTCTCATTTATCCACATCAATGGCAATCAAATGTTTATTACCACAATTACATAACTATTACTTTTTTTTCTGATAATTAGATGTTTATTAAAAAAGATAAACCAAAAATACCATTAAGTGAAATAACCTTAACTAGCGTTGACATGAGAAATTCATCAAGTTCTGGTACAACAAGTATCTGAGCACCCTGTTCTCCCTGGACAACAAAGGCAAAAAAGTCAAAATTTACTCAAATAAGTAAGGCTTGGTGCACTTGCACACTACGAAAATAATTTGAATTTACGAGTTTTTTCTTTTTCCAAATATGATTTGACTTTGTTGATTGTTCAGATCCATTAAATAAATAATTTTCTATCACACACACTATAATTGTATTGATCTAGGTAGAAGATAATAGAAACTTAGTCCATCAAAGTCAAACAACAAAAGGAAGTCACTCTGTGGCATGAGACATAAGAGAAACATAAGGCAAGAATCTTTTATTATGTACATCCCAAGAGATGACATGGAAATTAGAACAAAATCGACCAATAAAAAACTTACTGGATGGAAAATTCTAGTATAATATTTAACAAATTGCAGATTATGATGTACTACTAAAGCCATGTCCATTAGAAGCTACTAAATTCTTTCAACAGCAGAACAGCCTTATCTGTTCATTGTAAAAATGCTACTGTTTCCCAAGCGGATATAAAATATGAAAATGTTCTGCTATTAGCACCCTTCTGTGCAGGGCGCAGTTTCAAACAGAACCTTCTTGTGATAAATTTTAAAATAATTACCTGCAATATAATATCTCCAAGTTTCTCCCTGGCAATTCCTGTACCAAGAATTGAGCCAAGGAAGTCACCATGCGAACAAGGTTCAAACTGAAAGTTCCCTGTAATGCTAAAAGCAGTAATTTTATGTAAATATTAGCAAGGACTTCTAGGAACATCAATGATGTATCCGGTGAGCTTGAAAATTTTTGGTAACAAAATTACAAGATTTACCTCAATGCTGAAATAATATCAGGATCACTTGTCAGTTCTTCTGGATGTCCAACAGAAACCCGACAACGTTCAGCCTAGAGAATACATGTGTTATGTCTACATACGAATTCAGATAACTTATGTATCAAGGAACAGGAAAGCACTTATCAAGATATTTTACCTGTGGATAACCTCCTTGAGCAATTGCTTTCACATCTGCTAATTTTTCCAAAACTTGCATAGATTCCTTTAGCACTGGAGGTGTTAAAAAATCTGTGTGGAGAACATCTCGTTTTAATGATGCTCGTCTAGCCTACAACAAATGGACAACAAGCAAGCCAGGGATCAAATAATGTTTTATAGGGTAAGATTTTAAGAAATGTAATTGTCCAAATTCCAAAGAGGCGCAATATTTTTGGCACAGCAAATAAACATAAAACATTTATTAGGGGAAAAACGGGAGTTCCAAGGTTATTCATGACATGGTTTAGGTAATGATGTTTATGGACCAGGGACCTGGGAAAAAAAAGAAGATACCATCTCAAGAATATGTTTCACTTCTTTTGTTACACTTCTTTCTCCTACTCCCTTGAGTAACACATCAAAGTCACCCTTTAAAGCTTGTACTGTCTGGCTTACACATGAAGCTGCACTTAAAAAAGCATTAAGAATGTAAAACTGGATCATGATTGAGACGCCCAAATAATACATACTTTCATGAACTAGCAGTTCAGAAGTAGGGAAACAAATCATGAATATTGCTTAGGTATCACCCAGTACACTGTTTTTCTATCAGATGATCAAATTATAATAACTCAAATTTGCTTAGTAGTTTAGGGAAGGGACATACAGGATTTACGTAAATATTTCTAGAATATCTCTGACATGTACATTACCACTGACACTGATAAGTACTCTAGATGACACTAGAACAATCTTTTACCAGTTTTCCCAGTTTCTCAGGAAAAACATAAGGTCCTCAACTTGATGGTTCTAGTGCCATGTGGAGATAGCCACACTGCCAAGCTCTTCAGGGGAGATATGTTTTAATGGACTTACCAAGGAAAGTAGAAAACCACTCCAGCGGGCCCAACACTGCATCTCAACCCAAAACCGTAAGTTATTAGACTCAGAAATCCTTCCACTTCATATGGTCCTTATCTTGTCGATCAACATCTAATCTGAAACTACTTCACTCACAACCACATTGCTCTAACGCTTGAATAAACAACAATCTCTCCCTCAAGTGCGTACTTATCCCTTCTTGTGCGGAAGCCCTTCCCGAGTATTCAATGCTCAACAATATTTCCACAAGCACACAAAGCCTGCTTTCCAAGATCCATGTATCTATCAATATGTTGGCACTCTTTACCAGACAGATCCACGTATTAACCAGTGTTATTTCTCCCTTTAGACCAAACCAGGTATTAGGCCTAGTCATGCCATTCATGTTACAACTCTTCACCACTCCAGGGACCATGTCTTCACATGTGTTACCACTAGATCACCGGGTCATGCCGCGTGCTCAGTTGTACACACTGCCATTCATCAACCACTATTTCTCTAATACTCATCCAACCAGATCCAAACTGTTGGATATCGTCCTAAGTCCATTGAAATAGATCTCCTCGGTGTTATGCATTCCTCCAGATGAAATTCAGTAAGTTCATCTGGTTAATTGGTCCATCAAGCACTTTTTATAGATTCTATTCTAAGACTAAAGTTTCATTTATAACACGCAAGACCTCAACAACACAGTTGATAGCGTTCATCACCACTATTGCAGTTATAGTAAAAGGTAATCGCTTACGACTTTTGATCAACAAGCCTGCCGCTTACCTATCAAGTTTTCAACTTGATCATAAATCATGAAACCCTTTTGTACATTCAGCTATATTCACCACCATGTTTAGTTGGAAACATACCCTAATTTATGCACCTTGAAATTAAAATAATGGGCTATTATTAGCATTCTTGTGTCAGGTCAAAGATCAAACTTTGTTCCACAATTTACTCTGTCAAAAAGATTACATTTTTAAAACGATTGAACATAATGGGTATGCCAAACAGCATCCAGTCATTAAAGCTAACATAAAAAAAAAAAAATCAAATTGGATAAAGTGAAGACCTGAAGAAGAAGAAGAAGAAGAAGAAGAAGAGGAAGGAACGCAGAGAAGATGAGAGCAAAGGTTTCTTTGGAAAGAGAGGTTGGCAATGGCATTGCGGCGGAGAATATGAGAATGAGAGACCGTAAAAGCCTGAGCAGCTTTTCTCAGACACCACACAGTTCCAAAGCTAGTGGCAGCAGCCATGGCGGAGAGGGTGGTAGTTCCACCTTTGCTGGGACTAACGTTAACTCAACACCACATGCGAGAAGTTCACGCTAGGCTTAGGCAATACCAAGATTTTGTCGCCTCAACGACAAAATTAGCCCTTTCACAGGGTGAGAAACAAACTTATTAAATAATATTTGTAATATATTTTTAGTTATTAAGTAAAAATTTATTAAATTAAGAAAAAAATCATCAAATTTTAAGTGAGCTTTAATTTTTATATAAATTTTAATTAATTAAAAAATACATTAAAAATATCTTATAAAATATGTTATTAGCATTTTTTTTATTTTTTAAGGGTGATTTACATGTGATGATAAATAAAATAATGTGTAGTAAAGAATTACAAAACTTCTACATCTTTTGTGTAAATTACAAAATGTTGCTTCCTTTTTCTATATACACAACTTGTAAGCGTTAGATTCTTATTGGCAAGTGCTTTCCACCTTTTTATATATTCAAGCTCAATATAGATGGATCAGTTGATAGTATATAAGGTCTAGCAACTCTTGGTGGTTTGGTTAGAGATGATTAAGAAAAATTGTGTCATATTCATCAAAATATTAGGAACTTATTTAGTCATTAATTTTAAATTATGAGCTCCGTTAATGGGTTTTAGACTAGTTAAAAATCTCAAAATTAAGAGTGCATCAGTTAAAATGGATTTTAAATTAACAATTCATCTAGTGAATTCAATTATTTGTATGGTTCATAAGTTGTATTCAATTATTAAGGATATTAGAATATTGTCTAATCTATTAAGATTGTTAGTGCCTATAACATTTTTACTCAAGTTAATGCATATTTTTTAGCCAATTGAGTTGAACTTTCTAATTTCTAGATGACAAGTTATTTTAAATTCTTCCCTTTTTAGATAATGTCCATCCTTAGATAAGACGACAAGAGAATATATTTTTGCAGAATAATTAGATTGTTTTCTTTTGTTATTTTTGAGCTTTTAAGTCGATTATTCACTTTTTTATATACTTTACTCAGAACTTATATTATTTCTTTGAATGTGTTATTCTCACCTATTATGTATACGTTTTTATCGGCTAACATAACATATCGGGCATTTCAAAGAAAAGTATGTAAAATTGACAATAACAGAATAAAAGATGTCTTAAATTGAGACAAGTTATCCAATTCTAAAATGGACATCTTAAATTGAGGCAAGTTCTCCGATTCTAAAATTTTGATTCACGCGTTATGTTTGTTTGCAATAGGCAAAAAATATTATGAGAACACATTATTTGTCTAACGCACTATTTGTCTTTGTTTTGTATGCGCAGTTGCCCAGTGTAATATGAACTCTTAATATTAATACTCTACTCAACATTTACAGATATAAAAATTTGAATTTGCATCGCAGGTGATTATATATATAACATACAATGTATAAAAAATACATAATTAAATGTTTGTTTAATAAATTTTTAAAATTATAACGTATTCCATAAATTAAATCATAAATTTATTAATATAAGCTAAAAATAACCTATTATAGTAAGTTAAACAAAAATTATTTAAAAAAATTATAAAAGTGATAAGACATTTTTCATACCTAAAACAAGCAGTTCTTAAGTCAACTCAATGCCGATAGGCACAACTAATATAATGTTCAAGATAATATCAAAGCGAATTTAATAAATACTGCTGTAGAGTTTTATTATTGTGCTCATTGCAAAATTGCTCACCTCAGTTGATAACTTGTAACCAAATAAAGACAAATTCACATTCTACCAACACACCTAAAGGCTCAAGCAATTTTCACCCTCTTAACAGAGAATTTTGTTCAGTATTATTAAGACTATAAACCACCATGTAAAATCTATCAACATAAAGTTTTCAGTATATCATGATACCATTCCTGTGACAAATTAACTACAAAAACAAATTCAACCATCCGGTAACATCTCGTGAAATCTGAACAAAATTTCAAAATGCATAGTAGTCAAAGCTAAATGTATGCATGCAGGAGCTAAAGCACAACAAAGTGTATTTGATCCATTCCCCCAAGAGGATGCATAGAACAGAAGTAACTAAGGCTACCTCACAAACCTAGCCACCCACTAGGAAACTGGTTTCACAGCTCCTTCTACATCTAAACTTTATCAGAAAAGATAGGTGTATCCAAGAACCAAAAACAGCAGGACTAGCAAAGCAGCAGCTACAACCCATACCCAGTAATTGTTAGACTTTTTCCGCTTAAGAATAACTTTTGGAACCGAATCTGGGCCTCTCGCTCGGCCCCTAGACCTGATACCACTCTCCTTTTGGACCTTTTCCTTCACTGGTGCCGGAGCTTCAACATTATCGTTAACCTTTTCTGGTTCAGTAGTCTCAACTACTGCATCTATCGGTTCATCTTGGGGATTGGGAACAGCTGCAAAGCCCAAAGCTTTCTTCTTTGCTTTCTTCTCACGGTCCTGTGAAAACCAATTTCAGATTATTATAAAACATATATCAATGGAATGAGAAAAAGAAACGACTCAACAATCAAATCACCTTAAGCTTCTTCTCAGCTTCCTTTTGTGCTCTGAGAGCTGCTTTGGCTGCAGCTTTCTCTGCTAACTTCTTCTTCCTTTCCAAGGCCTGCTTTGCTTTCGCAATTTCCTCTTCCCTTTTGATCTCTTTCAGCTTTGCTGGATCGACTTCAGGCTCTTTGGCAGGAGTCTCCTTTTTGGTATTTTCAAATTCATATTCATCACTTTCTGCTGAATCCTTATTCTCCTGTTTGGATTTCAATTCTCTCCCTTTGTTTTTGGATTCTTTCTGAGTAGTCAAATTTTCTTGTGGAGGAGGCTTAGGATCCTCCTTTGGCTGTTTTGGAATGACTTTTGAAACTGCTTCAGTTTCAACAGGTTTTGGTTCTTCCAACAGTGGCTTTTCATCAGGGTTCCTCATCCGCCCATCCCTACTCAACTGCCGCATATCCAATGATGGCAAAATTCTTTTTTCATAATCATTCCTAAAATTTTTGTCACTGTTCCAGAGTACCATAAATTTCTCAACCTAGAACCAGGAAGAAAAATAAAGATTAAACAGCAATAGTCAAACAAGAAAAGCAGGAAAAAGTGATGGCTATAGTTTCAAATATGCAACAAACCTCTGTTTGTGAAAGTTCATCAAGTGTGTTAACATCCTTCTTTGCAGCCAGCTCCCGGGCTTTGTTCAAAAGTGTACGACTTTGGTAGAAATAGGTATTCTGAGCAAGATAACATTAATTACAGTTTAGACATCATTATGCAATGCTACATGATAGACTGAAAAAAAAAAACAATGATAACATAAAATACTAGAAATTTACATAAGTGACAATACTTTCCTGTTTTCATGAAATTTAAATGAAGGATAAAAACAGTACATCAAATAGAAGATTCTACAGCCATTTGTCAGGAACTCCAAGATTCTTGTTACAATAAATGTGATATAGGTATAGACTAAAATAGGAGGATTCAAAAAAAGGAATGAAAGTCATCGAATGCTTGCTGATAAGAAATTAAGAGGATAAATGTTGATGGAAGTGAGCACACAGCCACATTTTGCATTCCTATCATTCGTACCAGATGAGATGCAGATGCAAACATAAGATTTAAAGCAAATGATTTTGAACCTCCCCATTCTCCACTTTCTCTACAAAAAACCAAGTGAAAATCAAACCATTCCTTCCCACTCTATTTTGCATTCCCTTTATTCCTCATCTTCATTTTCCACCTACCTACCTAGCATACCCTAAGACAATCACACTGGAGACTGGACAGTGGCCATATTTAAAGTGAAACATACCCCCTCATCACGCTGTTTTCTCAGCAGCTGAATGCTCTCATAAGCCTTCTCCCTCTTCTGAGTAAGAGCTGTCAGTTCATCCTGTAGAGACTGGATATCCTTGTCTATGGTTTTAAGTGCATCATCAATTTGCTTGATTTTGGACCGAATTGCCTGTCTCTCTTTCTTCACTCCATCCAAATCTCCACCTATCAGCTGCAATGACAATTATTTTCCTAAGAACTTTCTAAATGATACACATTTATTCAGAACTCTGTTAACAGGGGAAAAGAAAATTGGCTCTTAAGCACAAATACAAATAAAACTATCTTACCTTAACCTGATCTTGAATGGCTTCTTTCTGCCCCATAGATTCCTGTACCTTGGCCCTCATTGCAGCATTAGCAATAACTTTCTCCCTTGTCCCCTCAAGCTGTTTGATTTCTCGGAGGAGTTGTTTTTCCTCAGCCAATGAAATGCTCTCATGCTGTATGCGGTATTGTAAACTATATATCTGCATCGATCAAAGCATATAGGTGTAGTGTTCTAGTGAGTGAATAGAGAATAGATGTGAGGATTATTATACTACATGAATTGACAAACTCTGGACTAAAACGAACTCAGATGACATACAACATCATTAAGTTCCTCCTCAGATGAGCATAAACCACCCCGGCCCACATTATTTGTATTGCGCAGCTTGCCCAGTGCTTGCTGCAGAGGTTCAATCTCTTTAATTTTCTCATCCACAATACTCTGAAATTGCCTATTGTCACCTCTAAGAGACTTGATCTGAGAAATCAACTCTGCTCGATCTGACTGCAGTGAATAGTAAAGACCAAACATGCAATCGTATTAGATACTTGTGAGAAGCAATCATGATGTCATATCACTCAGCAAATGTAAAACTTTCATGGAAAGGATAGCCCATTATTAAGTGATATGCCATCAATATTAATTAATCCTCACATATCAGATAATTTCTAAATATAATTTTTCCAGCATACTTTGCTCACCATTATTTCCCAACGCTTAGACTACTATCAAATATTAATGGCCAAATAGCTGTTTAAATTACACAGAATCATTCAAACTAACCTAAACATGGCAAGGAGGGTAAATTATGAACTCCAACTAAGAAGCGTATACAAAAGGGAACTACACAAATATATCTAAGGGATGATGCCTACCCACGTCATTCAAAGATAATGCTTGATACTTGATAATTTAGAGGGAAGATATGACAAGGAGAAGGATTGAAGAAGTGTGTTAATACACATCCTAAGGTGACTAGTCAAAGGCATAGTGCACACTTAAGGTGATAAGGTTTCCATCACCTTGTGTCAAGAAGAGGCATCAATATTTGAAAATAAATCATTTTACCCTTTTGCATTAATTTCCTACATAAATTAAAAACATATTAAACATAGTAGGTCAATAACGGGCATGATCGCGGAGGAGCAGAGCGACTCCCTGCCATGATTTTGGAGTCATTGTGTAGTGGTTGTTGTGCCGCAATTCACAGCAATGAAAGGGGGAAATTGCGGCCACATAGAATGCTCTCCCTTTCTGAAAGTTTGAATGCTTTTTAAAAGTGGGGCAATCTTGGGATTCCCCCCCCCCCTTTATATTGTGATAATTTATGTTTCTCTGTCTTCGCAAGTCAAAATCAAGCCCTACCTCCATCTTTGGTTCTCTTGCTTTGTCCTCTATCTCTAGCGTCACTTTCTAGTGCAAGTCATCATTTTCAGCCAAGTTCCAATTGTCTTCTTCTTCGTCTTTAGCAAAACCCAACTTATTTATTTCTAATGTGAGAAAGACATTTTTTAGTTGTTTTCTTCATTTCCAGTAAAACTCAAGCTATTTCTGACGTGATGTAAATATTTTTTGATGATAGTAAAACATTTTCTGGTGGGACCAAGCTTTTTCCAGTGACTGACCACTCTTTTATGTATTTTCCTTATCTATTTTGAATGTCTTCAAAATAGTCAGCCATCCCATTACCCACTACCCCGCGATAGCGTGGTTAAATGTTCAATTGTGAAAAACTAGGCTGTTTGCTGCATGGAGTCCCAAATATTAGCAACTAGGTTTTTTTTAATATTCTGACTATTTTATCTCCCTTAACACAATAGCATCACAGTAGTACCCGACAATAATCAGATCAATGAATGCCCAACGTGGCTTCCAGATAACAAGGGTCAAACACTGAAAAATAATAGTATCAGTATCACATCATCACGGTACCAAGTTGGAGTCTGTTTTTCTTTCAAACATACACAGTTATCAAGGCAAAATAACACTTCCAAATAATAGTTTGTAGGAAGGGAAAAGATGTCATCCTTCAATCTAACACGTGTACATGGCTGGATACCTTTAAAACAAACAGCTGTTAGAAGGCTTGACTTTCGGGATTTTTTGCAGTCATGAATAAACTGGAGCCTTAGTTTGGTGCCTTTGACTAAGTTAACACATCCTACTTCCCTGCTTGAATTATACGCCCATTTTGAAATGCACTAAGTACAAGTAAAATTTTAACAAGCAACCATGATGAATTAGTCTCTACTCACCCGTTTTGCCTTCAATGCTTCAGTGATCTGAAACCGGGCTTGATTTTTCTTGCTAACCTCTTTATCAAGCTGATCAATTTTAGACTTGATGGCAGGATCATCATAAGGCCGGCACCTGACAAAGTAAAAAGAATGAATCTGCTTAGGGGCAGGCCACTCTTCCACAGCATCTTTCGGGGCATTTAAATCTGAAACATCATTCCCTTCCACTTTAGCAGATTCATCTTCATGTGTCCCAAATTTGATGGCCTCCTCAGCTCCCAGATCTCGTTCTGGTTTGCCACTCTCCTTCTCATGTAAAACAGATTTTCCTCCTTCAGCACCATTCTCCAATGGCCCTTGAACCATCTCAAATCCTACAACCTCAACCGCCATGGCTCCAACTACAAGACAGCCTTGCTAAACACAAGTAACCTAATTTCAAAGCAAAAAAGAAGATATAAATGATATATCAATATAGGGAAGATTCAACCATTCAAGAGCACGTATAATTCAGTAGTTTGATTTTGATCCATAAGTTTAATGAGCAGATATACTAAACTGTGAATAATTATTATCAAATAACAGAAAACATACATATATATATACAAATGTATATGCAGGACAAAGCCGTATGAAAGATGAACACCCATTTCATCAATAAATACATGAATTCCATCAATTTGATCACAAACAACAAATATGTGAAATGAACAGAGGGATCTAAAAATAACCATCTCCGTCTCAAACATGCAAGCGAAATAAACCACAATCAACAAAGCTCAAAATACGATTAGAAAAAAAAATTGATTTTTTAGGGTAAAATTCACACCTTTGTTCTACCATCTACCCAGCATACAAGCCCAAATCCCAGAAAATGGAGACAAAGACAACAAAACAAAAAATTCCAAAAGGACATGATCTAAATATACATAATGACCCCACCATCGATGCATAAAAAAAGACAGAAACTTTGCACCTGAAAATCAACAGAGCAAACTAAAGACAGCACAAGCTTAACTGAGAGAATACCCGCGTGAAGAGCAAAATTAATTGTAGTTGCAGATACGAAAACCCCCTTTTGACAAAGGGTCTCAAATCCAATTCCAAATTAAGGAGATGAAAAAACCCCAGAAAAAAGAGAGAGAAAATGGAAATGGGTCAGATCTAGCTCTATTTTTTTATCTCGCACACGGACCTCAAGCCTCTCCTCCTCCCTGAGCAACGAGAACCAGTTCCCGAAAGAGAAGAGAGAGTAACAGAGAAGCTTCAATTTGATACAGGGCCAATTTATATAAACAAAAGGCGTAGATTTTTTCAGGTTCAGCAGCGGATTTCGCAGCCTCGATTTCTTCGAACAGTAAAAACGTCGGACTACCGTTATTCTTGACACTGTTACTTTAAGGATTTTTTTGCTTTTATTTTTATTTTTCGGATAAATACATAATAAAAATACAGGGTTCTGGGTTTTGTAATTTTGGTTCTTTCTATGATTTTATTTTTATTTTTATCCATTTTCTTTTAGTAAATATTTGCTAATTGTGGTTTATGGGTTCTGCGATGTTCTTCGTAAATACCAGTATTCTTTTAAAATAAATTTTTGGTAAATAAAATCTTCTGCAAAAATGGTACACGGTTATGTAAGGAAATATATCCATAAAGTTTAAGCAGCTTTTAATTCACTTTTTGTAAGTTTTGTTTCAAGAGAGATTTTTTTTTTTATATATTAAATTTTTTAGTGTAAATCACAGGTATCTCCACATTTTATATATTAAATTTAACTTCTTAATTTGAAATAAAAAAATTTATGAAAAATGTTTTTTTATTATATCATGTGAGTTTTTCATTAAATGTTTAACTTTTAAAAATTTCATTTGAATTTAAATTTAAAATTTTCATAATTTATTGTTTCATTGAAAAGTATTTATTTTTATATTTAATCTTATTTAATATGATAAAAAGTTTTAATAATAAAATATCTATTTTTGAATATATAAAATTTATTAAATTAAAGAAATTCATGCTATATATTTTAATTTTTATATAAAATATTTATTTCAATTTAAGTTTATCTAGACAGTGTATAAAAAATTAATAATTACAAAATATTTCCAAATTTTAAGTTGAGAGATACATGTGAATTTTTTTTCTTTTTTTTTTAAGTATTAACTTGAGACATCTAACTTTCAACTAAGGCTAACTCTTCTACTACTACGTCATTTTTAGTGAATTTCTTTTACATACATAATAAGATGAGTTTTAATCAATTTAGGGTCCTTCTTTTAATATTAAATTAAATTAATTTTTATATAAATTTTTTTTGCTATATTATATAAATATTTTTAAACTAGTAAATTTAAAATGTGTTAAAATTAATTTTATTCATGAAATTTTATTGAGATATGTGTGTAAAGTTAATTTAAATTATTATACATAATTGAAATACATATTTTTTCTCCATTATAATTTGTGTTAGAATGCATATCTTTTATGGAAAAATATTTAATCATTTACAAACAAAATGTTTCAGTCTAAAAGAAATTCACAATTTTCAATCCTCACACCTGTTTGTTTGCATTGATGATGAAATATGTAACACGTTAATTTTTATAAATAATTTTTGTAAAAATAAGAATAATAAAAATTTTCATTAAAATAATTTTCAACACACAGTTTTATCAAAGTGTTTCAATATAAGAAGGATTTACAAATTTATATCAAATAACTACTATAGGACTAATTCAATTACATCATATTTTTAAAATAAATAATCTAAGCCCTGTAGCAATATCATTCATCTCTTCACTGAGTCTGATACTGATCATCTTAATCACCCGAAATATAAATGTAAGGGTAAGTACTCTACAATATCACACATAAACACAGAGACTCACATTCGCTTATCATATATATTCACTACCAAATTCAAATCATGCAACAATCAACACATTCATCACTTTTCAGCATTTCATACTAATCCACACACAGGTTCGCTCCTTGCGCGTAGCTACGTTTACTTTGGCACTATAATCACAGTTTTACATCATGGATAGTAGCCGGTTAGCCCCTACCTCACAGATACAACGTGTGTGGTCACAAGCCCTTCAGCAAATGTGTTAGTTAGAAGCTGAGTCAGCAAGAGAGTGTGTGACCTGTGGTGCACTCACGCTCACTGTTGGTGTCACCACCACTCTCTCTTTTCCAAGGTATTTCTACCGCTCTCATCTTTCACACCCCTAGTGTATCGCTGAACTATTTATAGCTTCCAATACATTCACAATCGCATATAACATGTCATTCACACATATTTTTAGCCACATTCTCAATCACAAATAGAATTCATATTCACACACATTTTTCAATACCAACTACATTCTAGCCAACCACATAATTTTCATCATGCATACTGTTCAATATCCATTATACTATATTCTACACAATCTTTCCACCACAATCTCATTACAATCAATTAATTCCATTAAAATGCTTACATTCCAAACCATTCACACTACAATACATAGCAAAATAATAGATTTAAAGACACAAGAGATAAGATAGAGTCTCTCCTTACCTCAAATGAAGACCCACAACGTAAATCAACAATGGAAGTGTCTCCTACACCGATTTCGTCCTAAACAAATGGAAGAATACTATGAGAACCAAGGAAAACTGAGAAAACAGAGAATGGAGACAATAAACTAAAACTCTAACCATTAAAACTTACCTCCAAACACCTCAAACGTGATTCCAACTTTCAATCTAGCTTCTAAACGGCTTTTGAGGTAATTTAATCGGTGAAATAGGGTTTTGAGTTGAGAGAATCAAAAAGTGTTTGAAAAGAAAAGAGTAGGAATGCGTTTTCTCAAACCCTAAACCCTTCAAATACCCTTCTGGTCGCGACACTCTCACTACAGCAAAAATTTAAGAGGAAACTGCATTCTGATTTTTGCAAAATCTCGTTACAGCAAGATCCTCTCGCTATAGTAAAACTGCACTTAGAATTGCACCCCTCTTTGTTGCATTTTCGCTACAGCGAGAACGCAACAAAATCATCTCATTTGCCCAATGCTCTCTTGCTATAGTGAAAATATTCTTATTGTAACGAGAACACCCCTGCATTACACACTTAACCTATATTTCAACCAATTTTAGTGCAATCATATTTCAACCATACTATATGGCTATCTCTACAGTCATATTCACATTCATACTCACATATTTATCCACATATATATTATATATACATATGCATCTACACCATCATATTCACACTAAACTTACAGTACAATCAAGTGCACATTCAAATATCCATTCTCATATATATATATATAAAATATTTAATATTATAAAATTTAGGGCATTACAAAATATTTCTAATTAATTACAATTAATTACTCAAACTTCTATTGGAGAATTTAAATATAAATGAATTACTTTATTTATATATCATACAACAAACTAAAAAATTTATAGTCAAGGTTATTCTCAATAACGACTAATAAGAAGACACGAGTGATGGATAACGGATGATTTGAGATGGGTCAATGGGTGTAGGAGATTCTTTGGATAAGACAATTATTTTTATGAGAGGAGGATTTACAATAGCTGTTGTGGAAAACTATGAAGGGTAAGAGGCCGAGCGAAAATGTGAATGACATGTTGTTGTAGAAGTGTGATAGTGACAAGAAATATAGTGTGCAATCCGCTTATCATTACATTCATCATTTCTTTACTACGGGTAGTGGTTTGCAGCTAGGTTTAATGTAGACCTTACGCAAGATTTGGAAAGTTAGTACACCAAGTAAAGTAGTGATATTTGTTTGGCGTCTATTGCATAATGTAATCTCGGTGTGAAGGAACTTAACTAAACTTGGATTGACGATTCCCTCAAAAGTTTGTGGGTTGTATAATACTGAAGACGAGGATATAGTGCATATTTTTTTGCATTGCGTGTCTCTATAAAACTATAGTACATAGTGTTTGAATGATTTAATATTAGTTTATGCTTAAACAAAAATTTGCACAAGACGTTACTAAGCATGTATGGAATCTAATATGGAAAAAAGAAATGGAGAAGAGTTGTAATAGTATGGTTTGCAGTAGTATGAATAATTTGTCTTCAGAAGAATAATATTATATTCAATAATAATATGTTAAATGTTAGTGAAAGTTTTGATTTTATTAAGTATCATTCTTGAAAGTGATTTGCAGCAGGACCTTTGAAAAGATCAATTATACATATAAATTGGATTAATGATCCCTTAACATGTATTATTAATTCTCTTTAGAGTTGTGACGGGTTAGAATACCCTTATACTCTAAATTTATTTTTAATAAAACGTTGATGTTTAACAATATATATATATATCACACAACAAACTAGTATAATTAAGTGCTTTTAACATGAAGTTATGAGATTATTTACTTTTCACATTTGAGATGCATAATTTATATTATTGATGCGATAGTTTAGATTTATTTAGTTATTTTAAAGTGTATTTAATTGTAGAATAAAATGGTTTTAACGATTATTATTTATACAATCTTTTTTGAAAACTATACATATATATATATATATTATTTTTTATTTTTTCTAAACATTAATATTTTATTAGGAATAAATTAAAGATACTATGACCCATTATAATTCTAAAAGAAATTAACAATATATATTAATGAATCATTAATCAAATTCACATATATAAAATTTTCTCATAGAACTTGTTGCAAGTTACTTTAAAGAACGATACTTAATAGAATCAAATATTTACTAACATTTAGCATACTATAATTGATATATTATAATCTTCTAATACAAAGAAATCATTCATCTTAAAATATTTTTTCAAATTACTTATTAAGAAACAATTATCTTCATAAAATTTACCATAATCTGCTGTTTATTTAAAAGGAACATTTCTTTGATTACTCTCATTATTAGGTAAAAATAATTTTTATTCCATTAAAATGGCGCAATTTTTATTTCATATTTATAAGATTTATATAAATTTTATTTAATGATGTTTTAAATAAAAAGTTATTAATAGTTTTCTTTACTTAAAATTGAAAATAAAGAAAAAATGAATTCAACATAAGTCAAAACCTAATAAATGATTAATATTTTCAGCATTTAATTCAGATTAATTCTATATAGTAAAAATTTATCATTAAACACAGCGTACATTTAATAACCTCCTTGGTTATTCATGTCTTTTATTATGATTTAACTTTTCTAAAAATAATTATAATTATTTATTAAAAATTAATAATTATAATTTACACACACATATATATAACAAATTTGTTAAAAATAGAACAAAAATAATTATTTGTTTTTTATTAACAATTA